TGCAGGGCGCTTCCCACGGCAGCCCCCCGCTCCTGCCCGTGCTGCGGCAGCGCCTGCCCCCAGCCCGACACGGGCCGGTTGGCCTTGGCGGCCATTTCTGTCTCGGAGGAGTTGCTGTCCCCTGCCCGAGCGCCGGCGCTAGGTCTGTGTTTCGCAGTGATCCGTTGGCTGCCTTTCGCCTCCAGGTGCCTCCAGACCGGCACAGCAGCCGATGCTCGCACACGCCGCTTGACTTTCAGTGCTTTCTCGCACGCTGAGAAAGCCGGTCCCTTCTCTGGCTATACCCGCACTTCTTGTCCAAGTATGTGAGTGCTGGAATGCCTTCTGTTTGAAGTTCAGTTCACTGAAACCTTCGCTGTAAAAACACTTAGGTCTGTGCTGGTAACTATAAACCCAAGCGTGTTCAGCTCAAGTGTTGCTGAACCAAACAGAAAAGGAACACGGAAAGGATCTTGAAAGAAACGGATGGGGTGCTGGCTGTAAGGAGAGAAATGTCAAGTGACTAGCTGAGGCAAGCGTGTAGGGGGACTGTGAGACAACCACGAAGAGGAGAGGCGAGAAAGAAGACTTTTCAGATCACTTTTAGTCTTTCAGATTATTTTGTAGATTAAAAGCATAAATGTGCATTTCCTGCTGAAGGAAAAATCTTAACAACGGTATTATGAAGTATTCGCATCATTCAATAGCTTTCATAGCTTCTAAAATTACTATTGGAAAGGTAGATAGGAATGTGTGCACACACATGCACGTAGTTTCACAGATTTTTGTTTTAGTTGCGCTTATGCCTAGAAGCTCCTTTATGCTATAGTCTTTTCAGCCACATGGTTAACTACTACTAATCTAAACATCAACATACCTTAACACCTTGCAAAACGATGTCAGGAATATTGCAGGAAGAAGGAGAAAGGTAGCTCTGGAATCTACAGCTGTACTGTTTCAAACACTGTTAACTCCCTGCCTTTTTGAGTTCCAAACCTGCCCAAGAGCTGACTTTATGTAATGCCGAAAAAAAGCAGTTTTCAAGGCCTAATTAGAGGAGGTGGTAAACCTAAACACCAGGATTTCTCTTGAAATGTATTTATAGGAACTTCTGTATTTCACAAATGACCTGCTTCTGTGGCTGGAACACCATACAGATTAGTTATGTACCCCTTGGTATTTATTCCTACTGGAGGCATACTGTGATAGAAGGGTTGTCAGGATTAAAACTTACTGTCTTTGGGGCTATAAATGAAGGCAATGCAATATATGTGCAATAGACAGGAGTATGCAATAAACAGGAAGGAATGAAGGGGATATGTAGGTATTGGGTAAGATTTTTTCAGGAGCGCTGCTCTGAAACTGCGTTTAAACGTCACTTTGTTGTTGGAGCTGAAGCCTTTGCCCTGCCCACCAGCAGCACATGCCAAATCAGCTGACTGGCCCTGGATTGATCTTTTCAGGAACCAAGCCAGAGCTGGAGTCCCCTGGGCACCAGGCAGAGGCACACACTGCTGTGGGATGGCACTGCATGGGAGGCAGAGCATGGCTGGGTATGCAGTGGGGCTAACGAGGAAGAGAGTGGGCCAGGAGTACCTTATAGATTTTTCCCAGTTTTTTTTTCTCCTAGAATTGGCAAGACCCCAGAGTTGCCTTTTACCCAGGATACCCTTGTATTTCAGTAATCTAATTCAGGACTAATAATTCTTTCAGTAGCTGTGTGCTCAGTGAACTGCTGCTGCAACTGAAGAGAGCCCCAAGTACAGCAGAGCTGGCTGATTAGGCAAATATGTACTTGCAAACTTGATTGTCATTCGTAACTTGCTACGGCTATCTGATTCAAGATACAGGACTGCAATTAAGCTAAACTGTATATTGGGCCAGATCCTTACTTTACACAGCTGGGGACATCTGCACAGACTTGAGAGGTCTTGAGTGGAACCCGGCATGATCCTGCCTAGACCTGCAACTTTTCTGACAGAGTTTGCGTTGGTGGTGGTCTGTGAGTGAAAGGAGAGCAGCGTGCACTTATCTTGGGACAGCTCGCACCAGGTACGGGTGTGGGGAGCTCGTGAGGGCAAAGCGACCATCCTCCCGTGGCCTGGGCTGGTCCTCAGGGAGCACAAAGGTGAATTTCTGCAGGAGAGTGGTAAAGAAAATAAAGAGCTCCATCTTGGCCAGCTGTTCCCCCAGGCAGGCACGGCGACCTGCAAGAGAGGGAGTAGGAAGAGTCCATGAAAGAGGACATTAAACCACATGGGAGGAGGAGATCAGCCCTCCTGCTGTGCCTCTGACTTGCAGCTGGATCCTCCCCTCAGATTTACCTGCTGAGAAAGGCAGGAAGGCCTCTGGTTTCACAAACTGCCCGTTTGCATCCAGGAAGTGTTCGGGGTAAAACTTGTTTGGCTTCTCCCAGACTGCCTCATCCTTCAGCACGGAAGACAAGTTGGTGATGATTGTCGTCCCCTGCACTCCTCCACAAGAGGAAACAATTTAGGTGAGAATAGCAGCATTATCTTGGCACAAAGGATTGGTGCTGGTCCCCCTTTGGTCCATGTCTCCCATCTAGTAGCAACCATCGTTCAGTGCTTCAGAGTAAGGCACCGATCTCACCTTCTGTATCTTATTGAAAACAGAGGTAAAGCAGGGCACTTTTGCAATGACATATGGTGCCTGCTCTGTGCTCTGAAGCATCTGAACTTTGGCAGTTTGTATCCTTACAGAGGCTATTGCATGCAAATGCCAATTTCTTAGTTACACAGTGGAAACAGCCTCTGCTTCTCAGCTCCTCCTGGACTTGTTTTATAGCTGGAGTAAAGCAGTTGACTGACAGACTTCAAAGCCCAGCTTTCACAGGGGCCATGGGAAATTGCAAAGCTTTCCTGTTTCACATGTCAATGTTCTAAGCTAGAGGAGATATCGCAAGGCAAAAAAAAAAAAAAACCAAAACAACCCATCCCAGGCTTGCATTGCTACCAGTGCTGCCAGGGCAGCTGCCTGTCACAATGGCAGTGGACTGAATGCCAGTGGCATTTGAATAGCTTCAGAGATTAGAGTTTTAATTACTACCATCTTAGGAAAGCCAGTAAGCTGGTGTCATGTGCCTCCAGAAAGTCTGTTAGGCTCTGTTACTTTCTCCTTCCAACACAGGCAGTGAATGTCACAGCTCCTCAAGAGGAAAGCAAACCTTTGCACTGAGGTGCCACTGCAGTTGGGTTCCCACACAACCAGCGCAAGCCTAGAGCACAAATGTGACCATCTGCCCAGATTTAGCATTTCAAGTCCTACTTCAGCACTTGCCAGTGACTAATTTGGGGTTGGATGTGCAATGCTGCAGAGTTGGATGGGGTCACCCACACCCCATGCCTGGCATCTGCACAGGGAGAGGATACCACATTGCCTATCTGGTCGCAGTCACCTTGGGAATGAAGAAGCCTTGCAACTTGGTGTCCCGGTATGTCATGTGAGGTAGTCCAACAGGAACGACATCCCCATAGCGTTGTACTTCATGGATCACAGCATTGGTGTAGGGCATGCTTGCTTGGTCCTTCATGGTGGGTGATCTCTCTCTGCCAATCACCTTATCAATCTCTGCTTGGACCTTACCTGAAAGCAGCACAGCTAAGGAATTAGAGTGCCCTTAGATAAACAGAAGGGGCTGGTACAAGCTGTAGGAAGGCTGGCAGCGTGAGATTATAGATGCTGGGTGAGAGCAGGACAAGCAATTAGAGAAAGGAACAGAAACTAGAGGGGAATGCATTTGTTTTCAGTTGCTCAGAGCCATCTGTATAACTATTCTTTGTGCATAGTGTCTTTAATAAAGGTCTTGTCACTCGACATGCTACCTTACCCCTCCTCTGTGCAGCTGAAAGGGTACCTGGGCATGCAGCATTAGAGAATTAAAACAGACTAGCATCTATTCCAAATACTGGAAAGAGGGTGCGCTGGCCAGTGAAAGTCCCCAGGTAGCCTTCAAAATGAAGGCGAGAGTGAATTTGCCCTTCCAACTCCAGTCTTTTTGTCAGGGCTTCCCCCCTGCCACTGGTCACTGCCAGAACAGCTATGTTTGGAAAGTGTTTCTACTGGTTTCTGCTAGATGAACAATCACCAAAGCTGCTCCTCATTGCAAAATCCCCAAACCATGGAGAGAAGATGTTCAGTCTTGTCACAGAAAAATGAGGATTGAAGGGAAATGCCACACCTCTGCCCATCTTCTGACTTACTCTGTATTTCTGGGTGGAGAAGCATGTACAGAAATGCCCACCGGAGAGTGGTGGAGGTAGTCTCAGAACCAGCTGCAAACAAGTCTGCGGTCACCAGACGAAGGTTGTTATAGCTGAAACCATTCTCTTCAGCCACCTTACCCTGTGGAGAGCACACAAGTGGGTGGTTGGAGCTGGGGTACTTGCTGGGTGAGAAGACCATTGTTTCAGAGAAGTACTGAGAAGCACTAGATCCATTTTTGCTGACCAAGAAGTTCATTGGGAAAGTAGAGCACAACACAGGCAACAGTATGTATATGACTGATGTACTTCAGTAACCCTGTTACCTCTGTATTTGAAGGTCATCAGTCACCTCCCGTATCCTGAGAGATGAAGGCTACACCTGCCTTCAGGACAGAAGTGAATGCCTTGTGCTCTCAAACAGACAGCAGGCCCCTGTCACTTGCCATAACGTCCTCCCCCAGAGGAGGTGGAACACAGTTATTCAGGTTTGATCAGATCATAAAACCCACGCAGTAGAGAGGAGGCTGCATTGATGTGGCAAATGCAAAATTAACAGTATTTTGAGGGGCGTTATCTATAGCTATGCATTACAGATTCTCACTGCTTCTGCCCTGCTGTTTTCTTACAATCAAAAAAAAAAAGATCAGGGTATCATTGCTGCCTATTAAGCCTGCAACACCAATTTCAGCAAAACTGGTCTCTCATCCAAATGCTAATTGAGCTCAAATTTGTTAGCATATGAGATATGACAAGCTCTCTGCATGAGTTCATCTGCTTGTCTTTTCTAATCCTCTTTATACTTTCCTTTCCTAGGGACTAGCTTCTGTTAAGTTATTCTGTATATTTTGATGCTGTTGTAATATGGATAGCAATTAATAAGGCATTTAAGG